AAAATATCCCATCACGGTAAATGTGCTTTTGGCGGCCTCGCTTATTTATGGCGCCATTGCCTGGAATAACTTAAACAGCACTTTTTTTCCGCTAATTCCCGAGCGCTTCATTGTGGTGAATGCCATTTATCCGGGTGCCTCGCCCGAAGAAATTGAGGAGGGCGTAGTTGATAAAATTGAGGAAAACCTCAAAGGCATTTCGGGTATTGACCGGTTTACCTCCACCAGCAGTGAAAACACAGCCACAATTACCATTGAAGCGCTGCGCAATGCCAATTCAAAAGAAGTGCTGGACGATGTAGAAAATGCCGTANNATCCTTTCCCAGTGGCCTGGAACCGGTAACCGTATTTCTCCGTGAAAATTTAACGCTCACCATCACCTTTTCCCTTTCGGGGGAAAGAATTTCGCTAAAAAGCCTTAAAACGCAGGCGCGCATCATTGAAGACCAACTTCGCGACCTGGAGGGAATAAGCAAGGTGGAGCTGCTGGGCTTTCCGGCCGAAGAGATAGTGATAGAGGTAGATGAAGAGGCCCTGAGAAGCTATAACCTCAGCTTTGAACAAGTGGGGCAGGCGGTGGCCGCCAACAATTTCGACATTACGGGGGGCACGGTAAAAACCGACACGGAGGAGCTCTTGATTCGCGCGCGTTACAAAGACTATGATCCCAGTGGCTTACTGGACATTGTTGTTCGGGCCAACCGCGAGGGAAGCATTGTGCGCCTCATAGATGTGGCAACCGTGCGCAAGCAGTTTGCCGATGAAGCCACGGGAATTGAATTGGACGGGCAAAGCGCGGTTCAGATTCAAATACAGAATACCGATTCGGAAGATATTCTCTCAACCGCCATAAAAATAAGAGCCTTTGTGAGTGAATTTAACGCGCAAAACAGCGCCCTCCAGGCAACCATTGTAAACGATCGGGCCGATGTATTGGAGCAACGCAAATCATTGCTCATAGAAAACGGCATCATTGGCATCGTGCTGGTTTTACTATTGCTTTCCCTGTTTCTCCACGTGCGCATAGCCTTTTGGGTGGCGGCTGGCCTGCCGGTGTCCTTTTTCGGCATGTTTATTCTGGCCCATTATTTCGGGGCAACCATCAATGTAATTTCCCTGTTCGGGATGATTGTGGTTGTGGGTATTTTGGTTGACGATGGCATTGTGGTTAGTGAAAATATTTATCATCACTACGAAAAAGGCAAAAACCGCATCCGGGCGGCCATTGACGGCACGCTGGAGGTTTTGCCCGCGGTAATTTCTGCGGTGCTCACCACCATGATTGCCTTTGCCAGCTTCTTTTTTATTGACGGTACTGCGGGCGATTTTTTCTCAGAAATGGCCTTTATCGTTATCGCCACTCTGGCCGTTTCGCTCATTGAGGCGCTCATCATCTTACCCGCGCATATTGGCCACAGCAAAGCCCTTAGTTTGCACTACAAGAAAAACAAACTGGAAAAGTGGCTGGACAGAGCCATGGCATATCTGCGTGAAAACCTGTATCGCCCGGTAATAACTTTTAGCCTAAAGTATAAATTTATTGCCCTGAGTATAGCGGCCGGATTGTTTATCATTACCCTTGGCGCCATGCAGGGCAAGATTATCCGCATCAGCTATTTTCCATTTATTGATCGCGATAATTTTGAGGTTCAACTAAAGATGCCGGCCGGCACCCGCAAAGAAATTACCGCCCAGTACCTCAACAAAATAAGGCTGGCCGCCAAGGAAGTAAATGATAGCTTGCGCGATGTAGTTCCCGGCC